TTAAAAACATTATTTGTGCGAAGCTTAAGAAAAGGTAGTGATGCAAAGTTCGGCTAGCATAATATTTTATCGTATTTCGTTTCGAGAACAAATTCATTGAATGGGAAAAGTTTTTAGAGTAGATTTGAATTACACAATATTTTCAATTAAATACAAGGAATAACCAGTAGATGTCGGATTGCATATTTCACTGGCCTATTGCAGTTACTAAAAGCTCTGTAAAGATTTACTAAAAAGCTCATATCTTACAAAATGAACAGTAACATCAAGATTTTCCCAAGCATAAAATAAGCGATACCTGATATTTTCAACGATAGCGATGTATATTTGCGTTTGAAGGCACGCATACGGGATAAATAAATTGTATGTGAAATCTTGAGAATGGTTCTACAAATTCTATCATTTGTTGCCCGAAAAAATCCAATAATTTCACAAATGCCGCATAATTAAGTTTTCACTTTTGTCTTCCCTATTCTTCAGATGCTTGCTTTTTTATAAGTTCACGTAGCTCGCTTTTAAGTGAACAACAATGGAACCTCTTGGAACTGCAGTTTTGTTGTTGTTAACTCGTGAATGGATCATTCATTTATTGATAATTTATTATTTTAAAACACAACACGCCACAGAACTTGAAACAGAACTATAAAAAGAAAAAATTGAATACGTTTTGTTTTTTTCTCAAACTCATTGTAAAAAATTAGAAATCAAAATCATGAAAAGCTGTATGTTAGCTTGTTGTTAACCAGATATATTTATTTTTTCTAAAAATGACATGGCGGAACATATGATTTATGGCAAAATCCATACAGAAAACCAGTAAAAGGTTTCGCTGACTTCGTAGACTAATATACAATATGCAAGTTTTCAATTAGACTTTGCACAAAAAGTCAATGCAATGTGGCTTCAACTTGTTTCAATTAACATGCTTGACTGTTAAGAAAATGATTGTATGATATATTCATTTTCAAAATAGATTAAAAGCTTTATATTCATAGTAATAAGGGCCATTCCCCAATCACGTTATATTACTTCTAGTTCCAACATTAAAATTGCTCTCAGTTAGTATCTTATATATTTGGCGCCATGTAAATTTTATTTCCATAAAACTGCATGAAAAAGGGTAAATGAACAGAGCTTCTATTGTAAAAGTGTCACTTATAATTTATAATAGTGTTCATAAGTTTTTGTTGTTAATTCGTAACTCAAAATGTTGTTAAAAGCTCTCATCAATTTCTAGAGAATATAAAAACGACATTTATTCACGCTATACAAACAAATATAATGCAAAAGTTGACTATTTAAAATTCTGGATAACGTGCGTTCTCATATAACCTGATAATATAATTATGAATAGTGCCATGCAGTAAATTTAATACATCGGCTACTTGTTTGAAAATTAGAAACAATATTTAATATAACCTAATATGACTAAATATTCTTATTTATATTCACCAGTCATTCCTCCTTACAAGTTTTAAAAGCAACATTTATTTTCAGCAACAACAATTTACAAAATTGCGATTTTCTGCAATATTTCAAATTTGAAGTACAAAGCTTTTCAAAGTTAATTTCCAATTATCAAAGGACGTCTTAGCCTTCTATCATAATATTTGACAGTCATTCAATTCACCAATTAAACTTCTTTAGGCTTGGTTTGGCACTTACACATTTAACAAGATTGGAAACAGTTTTACAGTAAAATAATTTGTTTCTTTCATATGCACTTGAAGGAAGTCTGTTGATTGAGATTTTAAACACGAAGTTTTTACTCGAACTGGTCCTGTTTTGAATTGCGCATTACGTATAATTTCCTTAAGCATATCATATTTTGTTTCTTAAATATTGAAGAGTAAATTGTATCAGTATTTTAATTCCGTTCTTTATGTGGACATTTTCCTTGACGCGCTTTGCAGATGAGATAAATGAGTGTACGTACAATAACAAACTATCGTATTATGTATAAAGGAGATGTTGGGTACATGTAAATGAGATAATAAATGTGGAATGACTACAATGAACGTTCCAAATTACTTCATTGTTTCCCTTTTTGCATTATTTCGTGTTAAGTAAATAAGTTACATAGTTCGTTTTTTGTCCCTTTGTATCTCTTTCCCCCCTTTTTTATTGTCTCATTGGTATATGCATGCATCTAACATCTCCTTTTAATTTATACAGCAGTTTATGATTTCCGTACTACATATAATATATGTTTATATATACGAAGGCCCATATATCTGCAATAGATACTTACAATATATATCATATTGTTTCGGATTTGACACTTCGTAATGCGATGAACACTACATATGTATAGTGGTTTAACTATATTTCAATTTCATTTGCATGCATTCCGTATTCTACGTGCATTGTTAAATTTAACTTAATTTGTTTGCATGGAGATTTTTCTTACAACGTCATCAATCTTAAATTTCTTCTAAAAAGAAATCTGTTAGTTCATTATCACCAATTCTTGGCTAAAACAGATAAGACTGAGTATATTCCGGACAAAAGAAGAAATCTAAGACAACATTCCTAAAATACACGAAAAAAAACTTATATAATCGCTCTTATGCAAATAGAAACATCTCGATACCATCGCGAATCTCCGGTGCTTCTTGAATGGTAGACAGATCATGATCCTTTTGTAACAACGGTCGTGTTGCTCACTTCAGCGATCTGTCATGGTTGTTATTGAAACATTGTCAACTTTGGATTAAAGAACTCACTCCTTAAAATTTATTTGGAATAGATAGTTTTTTTTATCAATAATGTACATGAAGAATAACTACAATCAAAGTTTTTATGCCAGCGTAAGTTTTATTTTATGTTCTGTATAGCTTATTTTTGTTTAGTTTATGTGTCGATTTCTGTGTGGCTATCGACACATTTGACATAACAGATTATCATAGAAGCGAGTATCATCCGCACTATGATTAATGAATTAATCTCAAGTATAAATTATATGAAATTAACTAGAGTTGCGATAATTGTAAAAATAAATTGCATAATACTTATTTACGGGAAGCTGACTAAACGGGTGTTTTGAAAAACTGTTAGCCATTATAAACTACATCATGTCATATCTTAATGTTTTTGTAATTTGGAGACTTTAGAGTTGTTAGTAGATCTTTGGTCCTTTCATTTAATCTATTTACAACTCTTAAATTGTCCGTTTATAAATTTTAAATTATAAAGAAACTAAGGTTTCAACTCCCTCAGGCAAACTTGACCTTAGATCGATTTGGCTATTTTTTTAAGGTCCCTTTTTATCATAAAACTCTTCAACTGTTTCGGTTCTTATATATCCTTGGCTTTCAAATATTCGGCTTTGAGCTTTACTGGTGAAGGTAAATCTAGAAAAGCGCTTCGGACGCATGACATTTCTAACGTCTTGTTTTCATTTCTTATAGACTCGTAACGGTATAAAGCTTGATGAATTGTATATATATGGACATAAAATTATGTCTATTGTTTTAAGACTGAATGTTGCCCACTAGATGTCGTTATTTTTAATTTGTGGCGTTGGGTTGCTGCCTCAATGCTGCCTTATTGAAGTATACATCTCCTTCTATTCTTATTGACATAATGAACAACAAGACGTAATGTTAACCAAATGTTATGTACAGAACAAAGTAATGATAGCGCTTACAATAGTTTCAAACACTCGAATAATGTTCTTTCAAAGAGTTTTGTGAATATGGATAAGAAATTTTATTGATGTTTAACACGGTATGAACTTACTATCGACAATCTGATTTGCTAGACATACAGATGGGGTTTTCATGATAAAGTCTTGACACGAATGATAATTCTTTAAGATGTGTTCATTTCAAAGAAAACTTTTTGATATTTTCTCCGTAGTATAGGGTGATTTTCAAGAAAAAACAGTTTCTACTTTGCTTTTCGTTGTTTTTAAATGATTTTGAAAATAATTATAGATACCTTGAATATATGTCTTTAAATTAAAAAATATAGGTTTCATTAAATAACTAATCCAAGACTTCAAATATTGAAAGTTATACGAGTGACCAAATAACACTAAATTCTTTAAATTGAGGACCACATTGCGTGAATTATCAGCATTGTTCGGTCCCCAGTTCAATTATAGAAGATCTGTGTCACAGATGATCACAGAGTTATTCCGTAGCCGTTATCCCAACCTTCAGTCCTCGTTAATGACTGATCACTGGGTTTCTACTTGTCATTAGCAACATAAAATATCTTTCCATACGAGGGTCGAATGTATCATTATATGTAGATTCAATATTTTATTATAGTCTCACCACATACAATTACATATATTTACACAATAAAATATTCATACAGGTACATAAAACAGATAACAAGAAACATTACATTAACATTGTATGTATCAATCTCAGTTTTTTTTTCATTTGTTTACACCCAGGTACCCAAGTCGGGTGTCAATAGTAAAACAAGAGTTGGTTACCCTTCTGGACCACCCGTGTTCGTCCCCGGTTTCTTTCAATGCTTGTGTTGCTCATTCTTAAGTTTTTTCAGATATTAAAACGGACTGAAAAATAAAATTACTTGCTTTCGTTTACGATGAATTTTCATATGCATGATTATTATTATAACATTTTTCCTTTAAGTAAAAAGCTATTGTTGTCAGTTGTAGAGCTGGAAATATTGTATAGAATTTAGTCTATTATTTGACGAAAACCGTATATTAGCCTCTAGATGTCTCTTTTTGTGTTGCTGTGTTGCTGCCACGTTGATGTTCACCCCTTATCTCATAATAACCATGTCCACTCAATTAAAAGTCGCTTCTTTTAAAATAAAATGCGATACTACACCGAATTTACCAAGTGTCCTATATAGAATTCAAAATAAGTAAGAGACGTAGAAGAACATACTAAAGGAAAACATAGCAAAACAATTGTACGGAACTGTCCTTAGAATATGTTCTATAATAAAGAATATACTAAAAGATATCATTAACATTTGTTTTATATCTACATGTATATATTTGTTTTTAGACATACTACGTATACCAAAATGTAGCTGAACTATGGCAGATCTTTTACTGCTTTTGAACAGTACTTATAACGAATTACTGTTGAATTATGCGTCCAACTTGAAAGGGTAAGTAAACTTATGAATTAATGTTAATAAATTTAAAGAAATATTGAATATTCCTTTTGTAAAGCAAAATATTTACACATTGCTTTATAAATCTCCAACACGAACACTTTGCATGTTGAAGACAAGAAAATAGTATTTTAAATAATTCTGTAACGAGCAAATGTTCCCGTATGTGAAATAGTTGGCGTTTTCATCCACCACAATACAGATTTATTCAAGTACAAAAGGTTTATGTATTGAAATATTTCGATCGAATATTGAAAAAAAATAACATTCTATTATTCAAAGAGTTTATTTCACTTGGAGGTTACAAATCCAAAGTATTCTAGAGTCTAAAATAATACTAATTGAATATTTCAAAAACAAATTTACACATTACATATATATCTCCCGATTCAAATTGTTATTCGGTTCTATGTATTGTTGGTGGTGACAGTTTTAAAACAATATCTGCGGCAAAATATCATAAAATGATATTTAAAATCTTGCATTGAAAGACATCCTTAAAATAACTTTAATTGATATGTATCTGAAATATCAAAAATAGCTTTACTTCCGGAGTTTAGTGTGGCGTCCAGTTAAAAAAAACTAGTAAACATTATTGTTAAGGGGGCAGCGGGGTGCAGGATTTCTTGCTGTGTTCAAGACCCATTGGTGCCTTCGTTTTTTTTTCTACTCTTTGGTCGGATTGTTGTCTCTGAGTCCATCCCCTGTTTCCATTCTCATTTTATTGGTTTTGTTAAAGTATACTATTCTTCTCCATTGTTGTGGTACATGTGCATACTTGTAACAATCTACATAGTTGCAGCTATGACCCATAATTAGTTAAAATGTTTTTTCAAGAAATGTCACAATGTTGTGGTTAGACTTTCAAAGTATACCCAAGAAGATACCATACTTTTAATTTTAGTAATGATAAAGCCTCTTTGGAGCTAGTCCAGAATATATTCAGGGAAATTTAGCTCTACCATTTTCAGAGGAAGATACCAGCATAATAATATCTTAACATGGCCATATTTAATACATGGTTATTCACAACATATAATGAGATTGCTCATATTTTGAACTGAATGTAAGAAAGAGTGGCTGTACATATATATGTTACGTATATACTGGTCTGTGTTATTTTCATTTTCTGTACCATGCTGGCTGGAGTATGGAAATATGGTTTTCTTCCGACCGCAAGTAAAACCCTTGCCAAAATGGAGAATCTGTTTGGCTGTGCGGGATGTATGAATATGCAACCACGTCCGGTTACAATAGGGAAGAGTCAGAGGCCTCGTGAAGAGAGAGTTCCACGTTTAAAGCATGTTAAGAACTTTTGCAACAACTCTTTCGTGGGGCCTGCATGCTAATGCAAGGGAGAAAAGTTCTGTTCATATTCGTTATACATACATTTTCAGCTGGTGGCTGTTGAAATTCCTCTCTTAATTCCCCGATAAATCCCTATAACAAGACCTACCTTTTGAATCTTCTCATCTTGAATGTATTTGAAATATTTGCCACTGGTCATGAAACAAATTGCAATAAATTTTCATCTTGACTCAAGAGTGAAAGGAGTTGTATAACGCAACAAGACAGCAACAAAACAACAAAATTAATTAAAAATTACACAAATGCAGGCACGTATAATATTTATTATGCACATAGAAAATGAACGGATATGAAGTAAATGTACATGGGACAAAATCGCACACAATACATAGAAAACATAATTTGATTTTCATATTTACTGCAAATTTTAACTCAAAGGGGTCGAAAAGAAAGACATGCAACTTTGCTTCAAGTTATGATTTTTGTGCTTCATCTATTATTACTGCCTGATATCTTGAAATCATCATGGTTGATGTAGAGGGTTTCACAAGGAAAGAAAGATTGAAATTAATTTTCATTGTTATATTAAAAAAATGGTAGAAAAACTGGGGTGGATGTGGGGGAGGGTCCGTTCTTCCACTTGACAAACAAACCGACATCTATATCCAACAATGGTAGCCTTACAAAATACTTGATACACTTCTAAAACAAGAAAATGCTATATGTGTTTAAGTCATTTGGTCATAATTATACTACATGTAAAATTAAAAATAAAATCAAAATATTTGAAAATTTCGTTTTTCAATGTTTTTTGTTAACTGCTGTGGATTCATTAATATTTGTTGGATGCCAATGTTCGTGGATTTCGTGGGTACAGTGGACCCAGAATTCAAAATTTCAACGAATTATAAATTTTCTAAAGGAATGTATGCAGACTAAATTAGATATCCACGAAAATGCAAGTTTTCCTCAATCCACGAAAATTGGTACCCACGAAAATAAATGAATCCACAGTGGTTCAAGTTTCCAGTATTTTCCTGTGCGAAATAAGATTTTCATGTATAATGATCATACGCTATAAAAAATAGTTAGTTTTTGCATCCTTTCTGCCCATTCTGGGTATGATGTGTGCTGTGGTAGCTATATTACCAAGTCTTAAAGTGTGTTTTTATTGTAAATTGAAACATTGGCAGACAAAATGTATATATTCATGAATATCAGGAAAATGCTTGGGGTCAAAGGTCAAAAATAAAAATGAAAACTTTGGTCCTATATTATTTCTACCACTTATATGTTTCAAATAAAATATGCCTTTTCTGTATGTATTTCATTTTAAAAAATCCCACAGAGTCCCTCCCTAGTTATACATTGTAACAAGTCATCTAGTCAGTGCTTCTGTATTTGCATGAAATTATTTTGATTTTTATACTTTCAAAAATTTCAGTCGTCAAAAGAAGTTTAATTCGTTAAAATCCAGTGTTATCCTTTTGATTTACATGTATTCCCTAACTGTTATTTCAGTTGGCGTCCTTTTGTGGTCTTTAGGTTGGTTCATTCCACTTTAACATTTAATGCTTTTTGATTTCCAATATTTGGTTTCGAGCATCAATAGTCAGAAATACATTAAAAAAGAAATAAATGTGTCTGTTAAAATTCCTGTTCATGAATAAAGTTTGACTTTTACATAAATTTAACTTAAATATAAATAGTGTACGGGTTTCGAAATTAGACAAGACGTTTTTCTCGTGAACAGAGTGCTATCCAATTACTCCACTATAATTTACAGATCGAAGATCGTTAAACAAAATTTCAACTATATTGGTTTACATGTATCCCTTTAATATCAAAATAGATAAAGCCGAAAACTTATTTTATGGCTTGATAAAATATTTATATAACACTAGAACTAAGTATAGTTTAAAATATATTCTGATTGTTTTAATATGTTTTATAAGTCATGGTCCTACTGACCTATATCCTAACAACCAACCCACATGCCAAATATTATTTATTATTGTATTAAAAGATACTAAGAAACAAGCTTGATATCACAAAACCCAACCTGATCACTGGAGCAATAGTTGAGGTTAAACTCGAATCAAAAATATCATACAATCAACTGGAACGTGAAATTAGTGTTAAAGATAGGTGTAAATAACTTACCATAGCTGTATTTGGCAACTTTAAAACTTTCGGAATTATCGGTCCTCAATGCTCAACTTCGTATTTTATTTGCCCTTTTAAACTTTTTTGATTCGAGCGGTATTTATGAGTCATTTGTAGCCGAACGCTCGTTTAGGCGTACAATATAATAAGCTTTGTAAATTTTGATGAGTTTTTTCGGAAACAATGTCTAATAATGAAAACTCTCCATACAATTTTCTACCTACACGAAAGTGGGAATAAGTTGATAAGGTTTATGTTGATGGAAAAGTAACATCAAAGTAGTTCTACCTCAACTTAGCTCGACTTTCGTCGCTTGTAAATAAAAGTCAAATGTACTGGCCTATTTTGGCGATTCTATTCAAACGATTATCACTAGAACTATAGGTGATTGGTGACAAATCATGATACTTTTGGATGAATAATACTTAATGATTTCAAGTCGTGTTGATTCGTCAATGTTTCCAAGCACTGTTGTTGTGTATCTTTTTTAATGTTAATTGATATCACTACAACCACAGCTAACAGTACTAAGTATGTATCTCTTTATAGATGCTATAAAAGGATCTTAGCATCCTGTCTGGTTTTATTACAATTCCAAAAAAATGTTTTCAAATAACAGAACATAATATCAAATACTAAAGACTATGAAAGCAAATTAAAGAGAGAAAAAAACAAGAGGTTAAATAAATCATCTTTTTTTTATTATCAAGTTATCGGAATGTTGAAATATTTACGTCGTTTTACAGTAGATACCCAATGGTAGGTGATCTAATGTAACTAATTGATGACAAAAATGTTTCCCTGAACTTATGTGTTGTCATTCTTAGAAAACATTATTCTATTAGTTTTTGTTACCTGCTCTACTTAAGTTAAAATGGTGTTGTTTTTTTTGTGCAATATAATCATCTGCTCTATTCTTTGTGCAGTCTGTATTGTGGTCATTTTATTGCTTTCTTGTTAGATGGAGTCGATACTTTGTAATTTTCTTTGAAGTGTTTATTCTTAAGTATTTATCAACATTGCAAATCATCTCTAAATGCTTATTATCCAGATGGACAATCTCAAAGTGTATCTTCTAACTACTGCCACTTAATTATTGTACTAGCAACGCACAACTTTAAATCGCCTAAAACATTGCTATAATGATTTATTATTATGTTCAAATTGGTTACAATCAATACGAGAGTTCAATTAAATTTGGATTGTTACCGCTGTCTCGCAAAATCATGTCTTCTCAAGAGTAGAAATAATGCTTTAATTTCGCGGTTGGAGTACTATTGAAAGGAACGGTTATTGTCGTAAGAAAGAAATTACAACCCATTAGGCTCTCTGTACTTATTATGTCCTGGTGGAAATACAAACCTTTTATGTTCCTAATTCTTGCTTATTATTCAATCAGACTTTCGTGTTGCATTTTGAAGTCATTGTAGTGGTATTAAATTTCAATCCAGCAAATACAAATATTTTTTTTAAATGTTATATAAATGTCATGAAAATGTCATAAAAATGTCATCATTAAA